ATATATATATATGTGTGTGTATATATGTTAGCGTTAATGTATGAAATTCAGTAATTCTATAGAATAACTAGTTATTTTATAGAATTACGGGTACTTTCAGTTAATGTATTGAATGAATCCATAAATATATACTTCAACTAGTTATTTTACATACCAACTAGATATTTTATAAACTAACAATAAGGGTTTAGTTAATGTATTTAAAACTATTATTGAATAAAAGTTTTAATCAAATTAGAAGTTACAAACAAAATCAAATATTATAGTATTAAGTCAAACAAGCCTGACAATATTATATAAAAAAATTAATATTAATTTATTTCACATCAATTTATTAGAATAATTATTAAAATCTTAATCAATTTACAAATTAAAAAAACAAATGTAGAATAGAATTGTTCTATTAAAAAAATGTTCAATATTTAACGCTCACCCGAAAAGGGGACGGGTTATTAAAATCCAAAAATCTTTAAAAACGATTTTACACTATGATATTATGAGGGGGACTTATAAAGAATTAAAATCAAAAATGTTTAATGTAAAAATGAAGATTCTAACATAAAAAGCAACGGAGTTATACTTAAATGAAAAATATGAAGCGGGGGGTAAAATTTTAATATGTAGTGTAGATAAGCATATAAAACATATCTGTGTTGATCCGACTTGATAATATCAAATATTAAATGAAATATAGGACATATACGATCGCGTTATTTTTTAATATTTTTAATAGAAATATGGAAAAAAATGCAAAAAATCTACAAAATCATTCCCAGCTTTGCAGATACCCGTTAGGAAAAAAGGAGGCCGGAACTCTTTTACAGATATCTGCAAAGCTATCGTGGGAGGTGAAGTTACCCAAGCGCTTTATCCAGCAGGTCAACGACAGTTTTTCAGTAGATTGCATAGGTGTGTGCACCCACCTATACAATCTACCGTAAACGTCTTCAAAGCCTGATGAAATTAGTAGGTGAACATGGGCGCCACACATTCTCCCACCAGTTTCAATCCGACCAAGAACACATTTTAAATCAAACGCGTTACCGACTGAGCTACAACACTTGGGCATGTATAATGATTATTTAAACACTATTTAAATAATTCGATAAAAAAAAAAACATCATAATATAAACTATACATATATATTATGATAAGATATTCAATACCGGATGTTAAAAAATAATTAGTCCAACGTTGATATATATACAATATTATTATTATTATTATTATTATTATTATACCACACTGTATAGGTACTATAATATTATATATAATACTTCGTAAGTATTATATTCGATTTACATTTTCGAAGTTTAAAAATAATCAGTCTAGCTCCATATTATTATTATTATTATTATTATTCGAATCATGTAATTCCTCTTGTATTAATTTACGTAGTTCGTTAAGTGAAAGTTTAATTTCATTATAATTTTTGTTTTTAATAAAACTTAAAATATTTTCGAAACAACAATTTCTAATGAAATGGAAGTTAAATGATTTTAATTGATTATGTTTTTTGTAATAAACATATTTTGCAACATTTTTGTAACAACAATTTTCCAATATTTGATTCCATAATATATTACTAATTTCAGAATCAATATTGTTCAGTAAATACTGAACGTATGTAATATATTATCTCTAAACCCAATTATTATCATTAGTATTATTATTATTGTTTTATGGTAATCAAGTTGATTATTATTATTCTTATTGTTAAAATGTGTATTATTATGATAGCCGCTTATCGGACGATACCGTTTGTTTTTTTTTTTGTATTGTTGTCTTATTAGAATTATATCTAAAACCAGTCAGTCGTATTCCATGTGTGTACACATACGTGCACCAGAAGTATGTATTCGTGTTGTTTTTTTGTAAATTATTATTGTGAATGAAACAACTTTAAATAATTATGTAAAAATACAGTCCACTACATCAAGTAAAAATTTTATGTAAATTATTTGAATTCTGGCGCATGTGTAATGCACACCAGCCCAGAAACTCAACCATTTGGTCAATTCGAACCGGATACGTACCACGACATCAAATCAAACTCAATCAATATCCATCAGTGATTGTTTAAGTAGTTGTTTGAAAATATCGGTAATTTAATTAAATCTATATAAATATTATAGTTCTCAGTGGAAATAACCACACACACAACATAGTATACGAAGTAGTTGACCTTGAGAGCACAGCGTAGTATACCGTCTCCGACAACGGCGTGACGTTTTACTAAACGACTTTTACGTCGACGATTTGCTTACTGGTGGAAATTCACATGAAGAGTTACTAGCTACAAGAGACCGGTTAATATGTGTCTTGGCTAGAGGCGGGTTTCAATTGAATAAATGGTGTTCAAATCATCCGTCAATCTTGCAGGGCCTCTCCCCAGCTGGTCAGCTCACTACAAACAAACCAATTATAAATGATAATATAATCAAAACTCTTGGTGTACAATGGGATGCGAAGCTTGATCAGTTGTTATATTAGGTAAATATTGAAACCACGAAAAACGCAACTAAAAGAACCATATTATCACAAATTGCAAAACTGTACGACCCACTTGGACTATTAGGACCAGTAGTCCTAAAAGCAAAAAGCATTATGCAGAGTCTGTGGGCCTTAAAACTTTCTTGGGATGAACCGATACCAGAAGAACTTGAATCACAGTGGAATAATTATACCAAGCAATTGAGTCAGCTAGAAACCATATCCACTCCTCGGTACATACTAAACGTAAACACTCAGTTCAATTGTTCCATTGCTGAAATACATGCATTTTGTGACGCATCCAAAATTGGTTATGGCGCATGTCTATATATCCGACACCGAACGCATGATGGGAAGATCGAAGTCCAATTATTATGTTCAAAGGCACGGGTTTCTCCATTGAAAACCATATCTATTCCAAGATTAGAGCTATGTGGTATGTTAGTGCTCGCACGCCTTGCCAATCGGATCCGAACAAATTTGGCGATCCCATCGGAACATTGTCATTTTTGGAGTGACTCAACAGTAGCATTGAGTTGGATCGCAATACCACCTACTCAACAGGAAACATATATAGCAAACCGCATCACAGAAATTCAACAGTTAACCCATCAAGCTAACTGGTATCACATTAATACGAGACAAAATCCAGCAGATTTGATTTCACGTGGTGCCTTTTCTAGTCAATTGATTGAATCAAATCTATGGTGGCATGGACCAGAATGGCTTTCACGTGAACCAGGTCAATGGCCGACAAAACTAGATATGAATCAAGCACATACTGTATTAGTTACGCAACAAAATCCAGTAGAACAGTCATGGCTACACAAGTATTCCTCCTTTGAGAAGTTAATAAGAATTGCAGCATTCTGTCTACGCTTCAAAACCAAACTCTCTAAATCGAAATTTATTACGATAGCGGAATACCGATATGCGTCGAAGGCTATTCTTAAAGTCGTACAAAGAGAACAATATGGCAATGAAATTAAAGACATAAAAAATGGTCACCAAGTGAAGAAAACAAGTACACTAAGGCATCTCGATCCCTTCCTCGATAGCGATGGTCTTCTTCGAGTGAAAAGGCGACTAGAAAATTCACTTTTATCATATAATCAAAGACATCCAATCATTTTACCAAAACACCATGTAAGCAAACTCATATTTGAATATCATCACAAAGTGTTGCTTCACAGTGGTGCTCAAACTACACTAACAGTTATACGGTTAACTTACTGGCCAATCAAAGGATTAACGATCGCAAAACAAACATACCGAAAGTGCATAAAGTGTGCAAAAGTTACTCCACGGCCATATACACCATACATGGGAAACTTGCCAGCACAACGTATAACACCGTCGCGTCCATTCACAATTGTTGGGATAGATTTCGCCGGACCATACTTTGCAAAGGAACAATTGAGACGCAAAATCCAACCTTGTAAAGTGTACCTAGCGTTATTTGTCTGTTTTGCCAAAAAGGCAGTACATCTAGAAATGGTCACTGATTTAACGACAGCAGCTTTCCTAGCTGCGTTCAACCGATTTTCTAGTCGCAGAGGGTGCCCCACAGAAATCCATAGTGACAACGGTAGAAATTTTGTCGGTGCGCATAACGAAATGACCAAATTCACACAGTCATCAACATTTCAAAATGAAATCAATCAAATTGTAACGTGGAAATTTATACCTCCAGTCAGCCCACATTTTGGAGGGATCTGGGAAGCTTCGATAAAATCAGCTAAGACACTAATCAAACGCGTCATTGGAGTCACTGTATTAACGTTTGAAGAACTGCAATCATTGTTCGCACGGGTTGAAGCATGTCTAAACTCTAGACCCCTAACGTCAATCTCTTCTGATGAAAATACACCATTAATCTTAACACCGGGTCATTTTCTCATCGGTGCTCCTATCACAGTTCCACCAGAAACGAATTACGGACCAAATACAATGATACACCATCTAAAAAATCGATGGGAACATTTGCAATTGATGATGCATCATTTCTGGAAAATATGGTCGCAGCAATACTTACATTCACTCCAAACTAGGCAAAAATGGAATAGCCACTCCTCCAATCCAAAGCCGGGAGACATTGTACTAATGATGGACAACAATACTCCACCACTAAGCTGGAAAATGGGTATTATAAAAACCTTGCACCCAGGCAACGATGGAGTGGTTCACGTAGCCACAATTCAAACCACAAATTCACTGCTCAAACGTTCCCTTACAAAATTATGCCCACTCCCAATGTCTTCTGCTCCTGAAGTCCTCACTCCTTCAGGCCCGGGACCATGTTCAGTAAATACTGAAAGTATGTAATATATTATCTCTAAACCCAATTATTATCATTAGTATTATTATTATTGTTTTATGGTAATCAAGTTGATTATTATTATTCTTATTGTTAAAATGTGTATTATTATGATAGCCGCTTATCGGACGATACCGTTTGTTTTTTTTTTTTTGTATTGTTGTCTTATTAGAATTATATCTAAAACCAGTCAGTCGTATTCCATGTGTGTACACATACGTGTACCAGAAGTATGTATTCGTGTTGTTTTTTTGTAAATTATTATTGTAAATGAAACAACTTTAAATCATAATGTAAAAATACAGTCCACTACATCAAGTAAAAATTTTATGTAAATTATTTGAATTCTGGCGCATGTGTAATGCACACCAGCCCAGAAACTCAACCAAATATCAATATCAATATCACTATTATTAAATATAGATCTTAGGATTTTACGTTGTTGTTCAATCATATTTAAAAGTGTTTTCATATTTTCCATTTCTATTATTTATATTAGTAAATATTTTTTTTAAACATCGAATTATTAAAACAACGAGTTGTTAAAAAACAACGTCAACGAGTTAACGTAATAAACAACTACTCGTTAACAACTCGTTAACTCGTTGACTCGTTTACTCGTTAACTCGTTAACTATATTAAACAAGATGTTATTTTTTAATAGAAATATTTCTATTAAAAAAATAAAACATTTAAATAATTTTTTATAATTTTCAATAAATTCTAAACATAAATGACCACATATAGGTGGATCATTATAGTATTGAAATTGGGAAACAGTACAAAAAAGATTATCTTTACCCAAATATTTTAAAAGTTCTTTTGGTGGCTCACCAACTATATGACCAAATGGGTCAAAATATATTTTAAATGTATTGTTTATTTTTTTCCATGCAACCCAATGAGAACCATTTTGAGTAGAATCATTTAAATTAAATATTCCACATTCATTTTCCCATGGTGTTGTAGGTAATTCATTTAACATAAAACACCCTCTATAATTTTTTATTTTATTTCCAAAATAATTTATATCTATATTACTCAATGGATCAATTTTTTCATTTTTTTTTTAATCCAAAACCGTGTATAAATACCTTCAAATTTTTCAATATTATTTCTAAATGTTGTTATTTCAAATTTATTCATTTTTTCAATATATTTTTTTTTTTTTTTTTTTTTCAAGCCAGAACCTTGTGATCTAATTTTTTCCATCTCTTTATTATGTCGAATTTTATCTTGTTCCATTTTTTTTTTGTGTTTAGCATCAGTTACTGCAGTATAAAGTGCAGTTGCGCCTGCAGCCAAAGCACTTACACCTTCAACCACAGCAATAGCTATTGGTAAAAATCCACCTTTTTCAATTTATACATGTTTAAGTTCTAAACTTGATCCGGTATTATTTTTTTTAGCGTTTTTTTATCTTTTTATTTGTTCTGGCTCAAGAATAAATTTATGTTTTCCGCTATGAATTTGATTATTTTCAATTAGAATTGATGCATCTTTATTATTTTTATGAGCTTTCAATATTTTATTAAATTGTTTTTTATTTAAATTTAGATTAATTTTATAATACAAAAAATTAAATTAAATTAAATTCATTCCAAATCGTCTTTTAACATTCATTACATTTGCTGTAAAAATGGCTGCAGTTTTTTCACCTTTAGAACTATGAGGATCATAAAATCTTTCCATTGCTTTTTGTTCTAAAATTGTATCAGCAATATGTCTTGTTTTAGTATCTTTATTATCTTTCAGGGCTTGAAATCGAAAAAAAATTTTTTGATTTTAATTTTAATTTTGATTATCGATATTAGTTTTTTTTGATTTCGATTGTGGCTTCAAATATCGATATTTATTTTTTTCAATTTCGTTTTTGGTTTCGAATATCGATATTAATTTTTTTCAATTTCGATTTCAAAATTGGTATTTATTTTTTTTTCGATTCCGGGTTAAAAACAGAATGTTATCCATTACTCATAATAATTTCCCAAATTTTAGTAAATCATCAGCATAATAGTGTTGTAGCTACAAGCTACTGATGTAGGTAATACATAAATATATATTTAAATTAAAATTAATTTTTTTATTACCTATAATGTTATAAAACGTTTCATACACACTAAAATTGTTATAATATTAGTGTCTCAAAAATGAAAAAACATATGAAAGTGAACTAAAAAGAAATAAACTAGGGATACATCTATGAACAAAATGATTAAAATATAAAATATAGTTTTTTATTCATAGATCAGACTTCATTTAACTAAACATGAAGAGAACAATGTTTTAAACTATAAGTTCATAGGTAATACATAAAACATAAGAAAAACTCATAAGTTCAATATCAACTATTGATATTTATATTTTATATAAATGATATTATTTTATAATTTATAACAACTAAATAATCATGAAACTATGAAAGTATGGAACCACTTGACTCAACCACTTGACACTATATATAATTATATAATCTCCTCACGAAGACTAGAATATATTGTATTTGAATAATTTAATAAATGTCTGTTGAATAGGATACAATTAAAAAGGGTACCAGGAACAAGGTATAATATAAGTGTTACGCAATAATTTAATAATAACTCCTGAGTATACTTTATTTATTAAACTTTGTATTTGAGCGTACAATCATTATAGCATCTAATAAATTAGCTGATAAGGATGTACGTAAATCAGATAAAATAAACTTAATACCACTGAAACTTCGTTCAACACTAACCTGAAAAATGAAAATAAAATAAAAAAATTTCACATGAATATACAACGTGTTATAAATATAGGTACCTGAGTAGCAGGTACTGCAAGAACAATTGTTGCTAGCTTATAAAGTTCAAAATTGTCGTGTTTTTGGGTCTCCCAAAATGTCAATATATTTGTTTTGTAATGTAGGCGATTAACATCTTTAAAATTACACAGCTTAACAGATATATCATCTAAGATACCTGTGCCACTATGATGACTTGAAGCAGATGATTGAGATGATAAAAATAATTCAAATACATCCTGGTCATCAGTAGTTTCAGTAGTGTTATTAGGAGAATCAACATTAGTACTGGCTGAAAAAAAAATATTATTTATATTTACTGCAATTAGTTAAAATTGTTTATCAATCGGTGTTAACCTATAGCTGAGTTATTGACATCACCAGTTTCACATATATCATCTTGTATCTGAATCATAAACTTCCAAGTTTTAACTAAATGATTAATTCCGGTGTTTTTGTCAGCTTCGTTTAACATGCATTGATAACGTGGATCAAGGAAAATTGCTAAAGTAAAAGTATCAAATATTATTAAATGCAAAATACAAAGATTATCAAAAGTTTATGTACTTCTATACTTTTTTTGGTTAATCTATGTACAAATTGGATTATCAATGGTCAATGTGTACACTTTTTACAGGACTCTTGTGTATACACAATAAAATATTTTTCTCACAAAAAAATATAGAAGTACATAAACTTTTTTAAGCTTTTGTTGAGAATAAATTATATTATAGTCTTCAGCAGCACCAAGTTATCAGTCTTTAAATTATGTTTTAACTGTAGGATATAAAGTATTGCATATGGTTATGACAGTTATTATATTCCATTGAACAAACCTGCCAAAAAAACAGGGTTTTTTAATAAAAGCACTTCACGCTGTTTCATTGATTTCAAAATTTGCTTAGCTAAAATTGAACCATTGGACTGGAGACCGTGGGATGCTTTAAGCCATACCCCATAGAAGTCACCGAGGTTTATGTCCTGCTTTTGAAGAGCTAAAGTAGCTATTTTGACAGGCTCTAATGCATCAACCTAAAAACCATTATTTTAGTATATATTATATTCAAAATTAAAAACTTAACTATAATTAACTGTATAATAATATTTTTAATGACTTTTTTAAAATAAATATAAGAAAATACAAAATGTAAAAGTCAAACATTTAGATAAAAAAGTGTACCTTATAATATTTAAAAAAAAAAACCATGGCATAATAAATTCATACCTAGATTTTTTTCATTTTTTGTCACATATTATACTTATAAATATATGCTAACAATATCTAGTATCATAATAATTGTAGAAAAAATAATATTCCTAGTATTCACATGTCTGAATAAAAATTAAGTGAAAATTATATTTAAAATAACAATATCAGACTACATTTAAATTTTGCTTTCATTTATTTCTATTTTCAAAGATTGTATATAGTATAATATATAATATACCTACTTAATAAATGGACAATACTCATATAATGATTAGACATTCTTTTTTTTATAAGTTTTATCAATACTAAAACCAGAATTATAAGTAAAATAGTGTTGCTTATTGTTATATTAGCGTTACTTATTTTATTAAAAATAAAACTTACAATACTTTTAATGGAATCCCATTCACTTTTTTTTAATTTGAGTTCAGTATTTGTATTATGGTGGGTTTGGCAAAATTCTTTCAACTCTAATAATCTAAATAACATATTGTAGACCGAGTTCCATCTTGTTTCGTTATCAACTATAGCATATTTGAGGTTTTTTCTTTTTAGCCAAGTGACATACTTGGGAGTTCTCAGTTTTTTCACCACCTGGTTTTGTAAGATAGTTAAATTATGAACATAAAATAATAGATACTTTATTATATTAAGCTTTTAAAATTTTACCTTTCTTGCTTGAACTATGCAACTGGTGATTGGTGCGTTTTTAAACCCATCTAGAATACATAGTTGCAAAGTATGCACGGCACATCGCACACATGACGTTATAGATGAAGCTGATATGGCGTCAAACACATCATCTTCAAAAGATTGAATCGCTATGGTCGCTTCATCTATGTTAATTTTAAAACATGCATTTTATTTATTTATGGAAGATACCCAGTCATTTCACCAAAATTTGTTTTACGGTTTATTGATATTGAGTGTTAAGTGTGTAATATGATAGCTACCTACTCTGTTTAAAGTGAACTTTTTAATTGACCTATAGGTATACACATTTTTTACATTTAAGC